GGTTTCTTTCAACCGCCGTGTTGAGAGCCTCATAGTTCTGCTTCTGTCAGTAAAAGAGAAAGAGAATTTATTCTTAATTCCTTCCTGTTATCAATCTTTTTTTGCTTTAAAGTTTTAGATCAAATTCATTATCATCAGAGATTTTTTCTTTTCTATTTTGCTCGATCTCCAGCCACAGCACCCCCCCCCCAATCATCGTTTTTTCTCCTCAAATTATTTTCTCCTATTCATGCCCCCTTTGGGCCCCTTTAAACACTGCGTGGTCTGTGACAATAAAATACCACTCTCCAATGGCCACGCCAAGTGTCTTTTTTGCTTGGGAGAGGCACGTCAGATGTCCTCCTGCCAGCATTGTAAGAACTTCAAGCGTGGATTCCTCCATTCTCGTTTATCCACATTAAAACTCCATCTTTGGGAACAATCCCTTCAACCAACCAAAATGGCCCCACCTCCTTGTAAGGCCACCTCACAAACCAAAGCAATGGAAAAGGTTCTTTCTGAAGCCTCCAAACAACATCCATCGGCCACACCATCCCACTCTGACACTCCATCCACTTCATCTAAAACTTCAAAATCCCATAAATCGAAGCTCTCAATACCAATATCCTTGATATCGAAGCCCTCCACTAAACGTCAAATGTCCACAGAAGGCTCTTCGGTTCCAGAGCTGCAGTCATTTCTCAGTAGCCTCAACAAACTGCCGAATCAGTCTCTATTGGTTCGCCTTCTGACAATGACGGAATTCCCTTTCATCAACCTTCCTCCCAATCACCAGAATGAGATGACAGTAGCTTCACCGCTGCTTAAAGTAACTTCACTGTTGCTTAACTACAAAGGGTTGCTCGAAAGAACAGAGTGTGGAGGACTGGGAGGAGAATATGTTAATCGATTGACTCTGTCATCCCATTTTGGTGATTGGGAGCAGGGATGATGAGAGGGGATTCCGTCCTTGTCAGAAGGCGAACCAATAGAGATTGATTCGGCAATTTGTTGAGGCTGCTGAGAAATGATTGATTGCACAATTGATGGCATGGCTGTCATACAGCAAGCCTGTGGAACTCCTTTGTGAGTATCGCTTCTGCTTCAGTGCAATTTTCCCTGTTGCTTGTGTGACTTCAAGTTATGGATGCTGAGCCGTGCAACAGGATTTCAGCACTGTTTCTTTGACAGAATGTCAATGCAAAGGAGGTTCCTGTAACCCACGGACTGGAGAATGTGCTTGCTCTAATGGCCTGACGGGGAAGCAGTGTGACACCTGTATAAAGAAGCATGAGATCCCTGTGGTTGATGGCCCTGACAACATGAGATGTGAAGGTTAGTTAGTCTTTTTTCTTTAGTCCCTTCCGTCCCCTATTCCAAATTACTTCGTCTCATCTCTTGCCACATTCACACATCCAATGAAGATTTTACTGCTCTTGTAATAGTCCCATCTCTTCATTGCTTCCCACCATAATTGATTGATTGATTGATTGATTGATTGATTGATTGATTGATTGATTGATTGATTGATTGATTGATTGATTGATTGATTGATTGATTGATTGATTGATTTATTGTTTGATTGATTGATTGATGTTCATCTCAATTTAGCTTTGGTCAGATTTTTCTTTGGGATAGTTTTTCGAGCAGGAAAGTAGAGATCATTTTAATAATGGCTAAAACCTTGTTATACAGCTTCACCTGCACAGCAAGATGAAATCATAGTAAGTGGCAGGTTGTTGCTGATTAAAGACTTTGTTTTCAGCTTTGTGGTGCACCCGTCTTGCATCTAATGAGATAAAGTCACATGACTCATGAAACTGAAAAAGGATATTTTTAATTGGTGGCAGTCTGTTGCTTGACAATGACATAATTCCTGTTGTGCTGGCAGAACCCACCCAACCAGATTTTGGGCAATATCTAACAAATAGTAGAAATGCTGGTACCTTGCTATGATTATTGACAGTTGCAAATCTGCTTGAATCATACTCATCAATAGCATCATCCTCGTCCTCATCATCATGCTGGACCAGTGTCTTGAACTATATGTTTGGTTAAGCCCATGATTATTGTTGAGCACTGTATGTTTCCACTGTTCTGAATAACCTAGATTCTTGTTTGACCCTTGAGATAAAATCCTGGACAAATTTGAAGAGTTTGACAAATGAGTTATAAAAATGATTGGGAAATATATGTAGGTCAAGGTTAGCTTTCATGGTATGATTATATTATGGTCCTCCTTGACTATTTGGGGTAGCTGAAATAGAATTCTCTTTTGGTTATAATTCTCCCTGACTTCAGTCTAGAATAGACTGGTGGCTTCTTTATAGATGTTACCTAAGGACTTACTTTTGTATCTCACAAACAGCTTGCGACAGCTGTGTCTTGCTTCTGCTGGAAGATCTTCAGAAGATTGAAAGCTCCTTTCCTGCACTCAGGCACCAGTTGACAAGTCTCAATGCCACTTCCATAGCATGGGCCCGTCTTCATAGCATCAATGGTTCTATGCAAGCCATCACAGTACGTGGAACTGTCCAACAAATTCTTCTAGCTTTTCTCTAGAATATTGGGCATCTAGGCATTGCATCTCACTTTTTTTTCCTTTTTTTCAGAACCACATGCGTGAATATCAGAGATCCATAAATAGGGCCAGGGAACAGGCTGGCGAGCTAGAAGAAGAGAACACAGACTTTATTCAGGATTTGAATGCCCTTCAGCACAAGGTAGCATTTCTCCATGCTCTTCCTTGAGCCAGTTCAGTTGTGTCATTCAGAAAAGAAGCGTCTCAAACTTATAAATGTCCATTGCTTTTTAGCGGAGGATACTAAGACCTGCAGTTAGCTCCCTGGTCTCCTTGAAAACTACCCAACACCTTGGGTCTCTTTACATGTCCACTAAAATAACAATCTTTTGTGTATTTTAGGCAACAATGACCCACAGAAAAGCTGACCATATAACTAATAGCACAGAAGAGAGCTACCAGCACGCTGAGAATCTTGTTCAGGAAATCACTAAAATTTGGAACAAAATTAATGGTGAGATCTCAATCTGTGGCTTTGAAGTCGTCTTCCCTTGGGAAGAAAACACCAAAGACTAGAATTTATTGTTTATTTTATTTCTTATTCAGTTTATATACTTCCCATCCAGCAAATTGCTACTCTGGGCGGTATACAGCAAAGCAAAGAAAAATAATTATGAAATCCCTCTAAAGTGCTAGACTATCCCACAAATAGGCAACATGGTGGCAAAATAAAAATTTCAGAGCATACAATGCAATATTCCTCTCCTCCTTCTTCTGCTGTCCCAATTAATTGGGGAGAATCTCCCCAAAAGCTTCCCTTAACAGCTCAGTTTTTAGAAGTTTTTTAAAGAAGCAGAGGGAGGGCACCTGCTCTTAACTCCTGCAGGAGAGCATTTCTGCAAGTGGGGCACTACTGCTAGGAATGCCTAGTTTCTAGTTGACATTTTCTGGGCTTCTCAAAAGTGTCAACACCTGCAGGCATGAGGTCTGCGAGGACCGGGTCAAATGGGCAGCTGAACTAGATGGAAGATGTTCAAACAATTAATGAGGTCGCAAAGCGTTTATGTCTTTATATGTTAGAACCAGAAACTTGAACCTAGCAAAGAAGCAGACCAGTAGCCAGAGAGAGAGAGAGAGAGCACTGGGTGTCATCTACATATGGATGACCCAAAGCTTCAAATCCCCCAGTGGCCTCTCCCAGTGGCCTTCCATAGATGTTAAACAGCACTGGGGAAACGGTTGGGCACAGGGATATGAGAAAAGAAAAATTGTGTGTCTTTTTGTATAGATCTTGTGTGCCAGATGGACACCTTTGTTGCTGCAAATGCTAGTGCCACCTCCACAGAGGAGTTCCGGCAGAAGATGGCGGAGGTAGATGCAATGCTAAGGCATATGAAGGCCATGGATTTCAGTTTCCAAAGAGCAACGGCTGTTGAAGAGCACAATGAAGCTCAGAAATGTGAGTAAAAGAGAGGTAGGAGACGAGGAGTAAATGGGCAGAGAAGTGGAAGTGTACCTTGCCAAGGACGTTTTTCTTCAACAGATTTTGGCCACTAGGCTTCGTGCAACCTGGTGTTCTGGAGTGAGGCAGAACCACCTGTAGTCCCCTTATCTGTTAAGATTTCTATCTTGTCTATGCCAAGATCAAAGGTTTGTTTCTTTTGTCCCACATATGGGTGGGTGACGATTCTTGGAGATGTAGTCCAGAAAAATAAAATGTTTAAACACTGGCCGAGAATGACTCAGAACTGGTTATAATTTTCTCAGATTACAGTTCCCACTTTGCAATTACAGTTTTTCCTTCAAATTTATGGCCGCCAATCTTTGTCAAGATCAACAAAAAACTACGGCACCAGCATTCTGATTTCTTGTGGGCATGCCCAATATTGGGGCAGTCTTCGATCTTGTTAATACATATATGCATTCTTACTGTTTGGAGGTATTCAAGGTGCAGCACCCATGTTGCTGAGGCTTTTGACACACTTTAGCTTAATTAGGTTGACGTTGGAAGCAGAGAAAAATGTCCTAATGAGAACACTGGTGCATTCCCCACTAAACCATGACCCACTTTCCTATAATGAAAGGAAGAGGAGAAGTAATAATGAATTAACGGTGTTCTTAAATCACATTTCAAAAACTGTGTCTTCCTTGTCTGAAGAAGTGGGCTGGAAGATTATGCCAGATAAAACTTGTTAATTTTTAAGGTGCCACAATACACTTCCTTGTTTTTGCTATGACTAGAAATTACACATCAACTGGCCTGGTTATGTCTTTCCTTTTCCCCTGCTGTGTAAGTGAAACAGAAGGTGGCCTCTGGTTCAAGATGGGTGGGTTTCTCGTTCCAAAAAGGCAGTGTGAGGTGCCTCCTCTGTCGTACGCTCGGCTTCCAGCAGCATAAGAGTTGCAGATCCTGAACACACCGGCACAGATTGCTTGTGCCTCTGATCAGTAAATATCCTGTACTGTCATTCTGCTAGTGCTGGACCGTGTGAAGATGGAACTTTACAGCAAATTGGAGTCCAATCAAGAGCTGGTGAATCAGATCAACGATCAGTTGGATCAGTACAGTTCGGAGCTGATGGACCTGAGGGATGCCATGAACGAAGCTGTGAATAAGACCCGTCAGGCAGAGGACCTCAACAGCCTAAATCGTAATCACCTGGAAGAAACCCAGGTACAAAAGGAGAACTGCGCTGCTGTTCTAGAGGGAATTCTGTGTCATTCAGCAGCTAAAATGCTCTCATGTTTTGACTGTAGGCAGAGCATGTCTGGCATGTAGACTATATTCAAGACATGTTGCCATGCCTGTTCTGACTGCCTCATGTTTGGTGGCTGTCTAGCAGCCCTCAGGCCAGATCTACCCATCAAACCAACATCTTCCAATAAATGCTGCAGCTTCAAATGTGGATGGGTTAAGCACAGTGGTTAAACTGAAGTACTGCAGCCAAAATTCTGCTCATGATCCAGGGTTCAATCCCAGGTATTCAACTCGAGGTTCACTCAGCCTTCCATCCTTCCAGGTTTGGTAAATTGAGTACCCATCTTGTTGAGTGGGTGGGCAATGTGTAGCCTGCAAATTTAAATTGTAAACCACCCAGAGAGTACTTTTAAGCACTATGGGATGGTATATAAGCAGCACACAGCTCCATCATCGCCAATAATGCAATCTATGATCTTTTTTCCTCTTGCATTCAAGCAGATACCTTTTTTTTTTCACAACACATCTCCCTGCTATTCCTATGGATTAGAAGAGGAACAGGGCATAGACCTGCTCCCCTGGCTAAACTCTCCAGGACCAAGTAGTGAACAGTCTGATGGCTTTGGGCAGTGCAGCTTGGAGATCTAAGGTGACCACCACCTTGCTCTGGATGCAAGCCAAGTGCCTCTCATACAGAAGGATCACTGCTTACTTGGATGAGGAAGTCCAGAGGAGGAGCACTTGTGGATTGGGACACAGCAAGAGCCTTACGGGTGCTGTGGCAGAATGTCACGTTTGAGGAAAGGTGACCTAGATCACATGTCAGTTTAAAACACAGGATTAATAAAATATACCTGAAGACTGGTCTGGTCCTGCAGCCAGAAACCACAGGGTGATTACGTGATGGAAATGATGATGAATGTTGAGAAGTGCAAGATGCTAGATTGTTATGTTGTGCTGCCTAAGTTCATGTTATGGCTATTTGATATCTAACAGCAAAAAAGGAAGGAGCTGCAGGAACAATACGAAGTGATCCAGAACACCTTGCAAATGGCGGAGGACTCTCTAGCCCAAGTCTCAGATTTTTTGCAGATAATAGAAAATGCCAAAGAGGTAAGTGATATAAAACTAAAGTTTCCCATGATTTCTGAAGGATCCAGGTGTTTGGTGATGGAGGGGTGGTGACGCATGAGGTGCCACTTGTACGGTGGGAACCAGGGTTTAGCAGCAATTATCACATGAACAGTGTGTAGAGAAAGAGAGGCTGGGTAAAAATGTGACCTGGCCGAAAAGCAGACTTCTAGCTCCAAGGTGATGATTAGAGATGGGTGTATTCATATACGAATATCCCCATACAGGTGGACATAAGGAGGGTTTCCACTCACAATTTCACCACTGCCATTGGCGCCGCAGAGCCTTCCTATCGCGCCGTTGTCCACAATCGATTACCCAGTCCTGGCAGGAGGCAGGATGACAAGCCTCTCTGCTAGATCGGAGAGTGGCTAATCCCTTGGGGAGAACAGTGCAATAGGAAGGCTCTGTGGAGCTGGCAGCAGTGTTGAAATTGCGGGGATATTCCTATGGCTTAGAAGAGGAACGGGATATTCATATACGAATACCCCCATCTCTAGTGATGTTGTTTGTCTTGGCAATCTGAGCCACCTGTTCTTAACTACTGCATTCCCCCCCTTGGAGTGTGACTTAATACACAGGCAGTAAAATCCTGTGCAACCTTACGCTTTCCTAAGCAATCCTTCAGTTCAAACAGAGTTCAAAGCAAAGCTTAAAGTTCAGTAAAGTGTTTTTGTGTTTGCATCTGAGCTTTCTGGATATCAAACAGACAGTAAGTGTGTGCAATGTGTATCTTCAATCAGTTGTTAGATGTTACATGGAGAACACTTTTCAAAAGATAAAACAATGCTTTGGGGAACAGAAGGAAACAAGAAAACATACATACAGAATTATTTTCTGACGATGCCCTCGTGATGACTACAACAGTACATTGGTTTGAATGATGGTTGTGATTATTGTATTAAGACCTCAGGTGTTTGGATACTTTCCCCCCTTACCCGTCTTGCTGAGATTATTTTCTGCAGCCGCACGCGGGGGGACCAAAGAAGCAAGGCAAGTGAATGCAGGCCAATATTCCCTGCTGTGTCTTGCAGGAATCAGAGAAGTTAGCAGCCCAGCTGGACGGAGCCAGATACCCTCTGTCAGAGAAGGCAAAGGAGTATGCTCTGGCCAGCAGCAAGATCCCCGTCGTGGAGGAGGCTGAAGAGCACGCCAGGCTCCTAGATGAACTGGCAAGAAATCTGTCCAGGTGATTATCCCTGTTTTGTTCCTGTGCCTTGAGCTCTCTTTCTGCTGGCCAAGGCTGGGGCTTGAGTCCCGGGATTCTGTTGGTAATACAGAGCTTGCAGAACCTTGTTCGGATTATCAAGATTTCCACTGCATTTTATGAGAATACAGCATCATGCCCTTGTCTGAAAACAGTTTGGCTTTATGCGCATAGTCTTTAAAAACAAAAGGCAATCCAGAAAATAATTGAGTTTGCATTTTCCTGGATCTCTTGGAACAGTTTTTGATGTGGAAGCCAAACGGGTGGATACAGCACGTATGTATTCAGTTGCTCTTTTGAATCCAGTTTCATGTAAACATTAAAACTGATAGGGAAAAATAGAATTGTTAGTGCGAGAATCTTGCATTTCTGTATCTAGTAGATGCTCAGCTTCTTGGACTCAATGCCACGCCCTCATTTTTCAGTGTACAAAGTCTTTTTTTTTTTCTTATAAGAAAGCCAAGAGTTGTGACATCTCAGTCATGAACTGCAAGTCTGAGCCAGAGGATCCATGCCCAGCTATAGGGTTGGCCTAGATGTTTCTAATTCTAATTTGCATTGGGAGGTACAACTCTTACTGCTTCTGTAGCTACCCCATGTGGGTAGGGATGGGGACTGTAATTATGTGCTGTCAAAACAATTCTGACCTATAGTGACCCTTTCCAGGGTTTTCTAGATATAAAGTATTCAGAACTGGTTTACTAGTCCCTGTTCTTCTTCATGGCTTCGGTGAATCAGTGAACCTCTGTGGATGTTTGGAATAAATCATCTGAGCACTCTGGAAAGATAAGGGTGTTTTTTTTTCTTAAAAAGCTGGATAATAATAATAAAAGCCACAGAGAGATGAAACAGATGATCATAGTAGTTTCTAGATTCTGTATTTCAGGGCTATGTTCTTTTGCAATCCTTGTTGAGGTGCCAACTTTGAAGATCTGAAAACATCTCCATGGGAGATTTCAGAGCCTCCTTCTGTATCCATTCCCAGCGTCCAAGCTGTTCATTCTCCAAAGGCACAGCAAGCTGAGAGATTGGTAATGATACGTAGGAACCTCCTCAGCTTGCCATTTTGATGATGGCTTCCTGGTGTGAGAAACCTGACAGGCTCTTCAACAAGCTGCCCTCTGGTTAAAACCGGTGAAAGGATCCCAAGACACCGTGCCTCATGAATTCTCTTCAGCTTTCACTTGGCAGCTGGGCTGCAGCAGGGCTCCTGGCAAACGTCTCTTCTGTTTATCTCTCTGTCTTCCGAAAACAGCATCATCCATGGCACGAATCAAGATGGATTTATTCAGCGAGCCATCAATGCCTCCAACGCCTATGCCAGCATAATCGAGGCGGTCAAGAGTGCAGAAAGCGCAGCCAATGAAGCTCATCGTGCTGCCAGCGAAGCTTTGACGGTATTAGTCCTTTTCCCCCATAGCAGTCATTTAAAACTGGGGCTGGAGCTACTATAGCTGCCATTCCGGGAGTGCCGTGCTGCCAGAGCAAGGGGGAGATGATTCATCATGGCTGGTTTAAGATTTCTGGAAGCTGTGGTCCCAAAAAGTAATATTTCTCATCTCCAGATATTGACTTCTCTATCCCAGTTTTAATGCTTAACCATGGTTGAACGTTTATCACCTATTTGTTGTGGCAGTCAGGGAAAACTGGCTTCCTTTCCATGTGCTTTGCCTACTTCCCCCCAGTTGTCTTGCAGACAGGTCATTCTCATTACAAGAACTAGCCTGGCAGATAAAAAGAGAAAGGACACAACAGGTGATAGTCCCTTGCTAATGTGGCGATGGTGGCCGCTATCACACGCCTGGCTTCATCTGCCCTCCCACCTACTTGGAACCCTTTGAATACACCTGACCCAACCGGGATGGATTGACTGTGAAGGAAATTGTATTTGCCCCTTCAAATTTGGTCCAGCCGATCCTTTACATTTGGCACACCTGGATTCAGTTAAGGTTTTGCAACATTGGCTAGAGTTTATTTACGCGAATGTAGCTCTAGCAGGTGGGGACCCTGGCCGCTCTGCGAAATGGGTGTGGAAATAGAGAAGGTGGAGATAGGAAGAGAGAGAAGTCAGGAGATGACTCTCAAAGTTTGGAACCCAGATGTAAGCCATATGGGATTCAAGATGGGACACTTAGTGGGCAAGGTCTCTTCTGTGTTTTCAGAATGTCATCCTGGATGATCTTGGAACCAGGTCAGAAGAGATGAAGAACAAGAGCATTGCCTTAGAAGAAGCTGTGAAGAAGGAACAGAAGAAGCTCAGCGGAGGTAAGAAAGAGACCAACAGCACTCTCTACTGACCAACATAAACCTTGCAAAGGAAATTCCCTGAGGGGACTCACACAATCCTGTTCACACACTTTCTGCATTATCAAATTCTTCAGTTTCCACTTCCACACACCCCCAGGAACGATGCTACGTCAATAGACTCCCATTTTCTCTGCTCTGAAAGGACATTCCTCTTTGTGAACATGTCAGCTCTAATGGAAGTCCCTTTCAACCTGTTTCCATGGCAAACTTATAAGTTTGAGGGCCAGTTTTCTCCCTATGGGATCCCCTGGGAAGAGGACGGATGGCCAAAACCCCTAAACAATAACACTGTCCACTTCCACTTCCATTTTTCAAAAACAGCCATTTTTTAAAAATGTCAGAATTGGTGTGGGTGAGGTTCTGGCTTCCATAACTTATCTAAAAAGTGAATCACAGCTCCTGGAGGATCCCAGGAGATCACAGGCTGGTTTTTGCCAGGGGAAGATTTCAGGAGACGAGGGCCACAAAAACAGCCTTGGGGTGGCCTGTGTATAGACACAGGGGCACACTTTGCTTTGCTTTCCCTCGTGGCTAAGGAGAAATGTGGGAGAGAAGTGGGGTGAGATTGGCACATCTTCATAAGGGGTTGTAGGACAGGATCTCTGTGTCTATTAGTCCATTATTGAATATTCCCAGCACCAGACCTCTTCCACAATGTGATGATAGAGATTTTATTTCGGTAATCCGGTTTTATCCATATGTAACCCTGTATCTTGCATATTTCACTCCCAAGAAATCAAGGCAGCACTGCAGGCAGCCAAGAACCGATTGGCTGGCATCCAACAAAAGAAAGACCGGCTTGTAAACCAACTACAGTCGGTGAAGAGCACATTGGACAAGGTCCAAGGTATGTCCAAATTACACTTCCTTTGCACATTCTAGAAAGGAACACCTCTCTGGAATGTTGCCCTGACATTCTGGATCATCTAGCCCACCGTGGCCTCTTTCATTGTTAACACCGATTGTTACGTCCATGTCAGCCAATCCATGGATGCCTCCAGACAGAAGCATCCTAGCAGCTGTTGCATCTTTCCTCACTTAACTGATCTTCTCTCATGAAGGAGTCGTGGGAAAATATGAGAGGGTTGTAGACTGAAAGTGACGAATCATTTGCAAGAACTCCATGTAAACTTCACTACCACGTGCATAAACACTGCTTTGAGTCAAGACCCTTTGTCTGTGTCCTTTTGACACAAGTTTGGTAATGCATGAAATTCTTCCAGGGTGATAGTTGATGATTGTAGCGCCCGTGCAAGTTTGCATAAATTCATCCAGGGTGATAGTTGAATGATGATTGTAGCGCCCGTGCAAGTTTGCATTACAGGGACGACTTCATGCATTCTCTTCTGGAGCAACATTTTCTTCTAAATTTCCGTGGGATATTTCTCAATTCCTATATTTGCTCTTCTTAGTTGAATTTAATTCCTAAAGTCTGTGGATTTGCCGGGGGCGGGGCGGAATAGGTCATGGCCATGCATTTCACAGTGCCTTGCTTTTGTTGTCTTCTATGTTTCTGTTTACCACGTGCTTCCTTACTTTTGTGAGATGGTACAGCAGAGGCAATCCAAAAAGCCAAAGATGCAGCTGCAGAGGCCAACGCGACTGTGGTCAGGATGGAAGGACGACTGAGCGACATGAAAAAAAATCTGGATGAGTGGAAAAAACAATACGGAGATCTCGAAAGTGAAGATGTGAATCAAGCTGTTCAAGATGCCAAGAACACAGGTACAGTACGTTGCTCCCATGGTCAGGTGTATAAAGCATTTCTCAGGGGAAAGGTCATAACCTTTGTGAGCAGGTAAGCTCCAATAGAAGTCCCTTTTAACCTGTTTCTGCGGCTCTGCGCTTCTTTGGTCAAGGAGGGCCAGTATGAGAAACTCGAGATGCGCAGAAGAGCAAAGGGGTTATTGCTACATGCCACCCCCTTGGGATTTCTTCAAATATGATCCTTGTGTTGTTATAAAAACCCTCTTCTGAGGGTGATGTTGGAAAGACAGTGGAGCAGATTTCAACCCCGTGCCTTACCCAGCCTGAGGCAGCCAGTTCACACTGCCTGGTGAGCGAGGGCATTTGAAAGACACCTGGAAGCATGATATTCATACCTTTTGGCTATTGATGTTTTTCCTGGAATTCATCTCCTCCTCCTTTGAGCTAAACTTGTCTTTTCTATAGTTAACAATGTACCTTTCTGGTAACTTGTCTTTTTTCTTCTCCTCTCCCATGATGAATTTCTGCCCTCCAGTATCAAACCTTGAAAGCACCCTCCCACTGCTTCTGGGAAAGCTCAGCAGTCTGGAGAACAGGAGGAGTCACAACGCCACTGTTTCGGACAATATTCTGCGGGTGCGCCAGCTAATATCGTTGGCCCGCAGTGCTGTCAGTAAGGTATGAATGCAGAGAGTCAAGAGCAGCAACTGACCAGTACGGGGCTCAGCTAGTTAGTGAAGAACTCAAAAGCAAGCCTTTTCATCATGTTCCATGTCAACCAAATGAATATTCAGGAGGAGAAATTTGATTGTGCCCAGATCCACTGTTGGATCAGAAACCACCTAGTCTGAACAGCAGCTTCTCACCTTTTACCCAGTACTTGAGTACTTGAAAGCAACCATACAGAAAGTTATGAGTAAGGGGTAGGATTTCCATGACAGGTTATTTTTTTTCCCTGCAACGTATGTTTGCTTGTGCACAGATCCACTGTTGGATCAGAAACCACCTAGTCTGAACAGCAGCTTCTCACCTTTTACACAGCACTTGAGTACTTCAAAGCAACCATACAGAAAGTTATGAGTAAGGGGTAGGATTTCCATGACAGATTATTTTTTTTCCTGCAACGTATGTTTGCTTGTGCACAGATCCACTGTTGGATCAGAAACCACCTAGTCTGAACAGCAGCTTCTCACCTTTTACCCAGTACTTGAGTACTTGAAAGCAACCATACAGAAAGTTATGAGTAAGGGGTAGGATTTCCATGACAGGTTATTTTTTTTCCTGTAACGTATGTTTTCGCTTATGGGTGGGTTTGAACATGATTAGAAAAAATCTGGTGAGCAAGGCCAGATTACTCATAAACATGTTTGAGCTTGCTAATAATTTAAAAAACCAATAAAGGTTAGGTTACAGCAGACTCCCAGAGCACTGACCTACTAGAGGAAGCTTCATACCTTTCAGAATGGCATTGGGAACATGTATCTGAGGAGGTGTTTATAGGGAGGCTGGATAGAGAGAGTATAAGGATGACTCTTGCCTTTATGTTGGAGTCTGCCTTTCGCTACTCCTTTCCCAAAGGCAAGGTTGTGTTGTATTGGGGATGGATTTTAAAGAGCCAGCAGTGATATGTCGGTCTCTCTTGGTTTGGTTTCTTGACCCCTAGATAAAAGTTCCTGTGAAGTTCAATGGGACTTCAGGTGTGCAAGTCCGGACTCCCAGTAATCTCAAAGATCTGGCTGCCTACACCTCCCTCAAATTCTATATCCAGAACCCGGAGCCCAAAGTAAGACAGAAACGTCAAAATGGAGACGACATGGGGCGCTTTGTCTTGTATCTGGGACACAAAGACGTACGTACCTATCTTCTTATGGGAGGAATATTGTAGGTGCTGGGGAAAGCATACCACAGCTTTCATAGAATCATAAGATAGTGAAGTTGGAAAGGGCCTATAAAGGCCACCAAGTCCAACCCCCTTTCCCTCACCTTCTAGTCTACAGTTGCCATCTGTAAAACCATCACGGTGAGGGAATGTAGTCTTACCACATTGTTTTATCACGCTAATGTTGCGCTATTCAGTATAGCCTTGGTAATGGTGTTCTGCCAGTGTTCTGTGGAAGATTATTATTAGAAAAATATTGTGCCATAATAAATGCTAAAAACAAAAACAGGCAATAGCAGCACAGAGCTACACTGGAAACGTTAGTGTGGTGGTCCTATTATGTAGACATCCCTAAGGTAGACAGCATGCTCTACTTAGCACAGAATTCCATAGCTGTCTTCAGAATAAAAAAATTATGGCCTCGGGAAAGATGTTTGAAACTCCCCATCAATGTGTACTTGTGTTCGGTGTATCTACGCAGGCTGCCGGCGACTACATGGGCATTGTTTTGAAAGACCGCAAAGTGCAGTGGATCTATAAACTAGGGCCTGAGGAGCCAACATATTTAACTGTTGATGAAGAGATTGGAGAACAGTTTGCAGCAATCAGCATTAACAGGTATGGAAAGAAAAAAAAAGAGGGGAGCATCTTCAAAATTACTATTCCTTAAAGTGTGTGAAGTTGCTTGTTGGATTCTCGCCACGACTGTATTCGGGTCAAGTTGCAGGTTGAATTTGGCCTCTGTCTGACTGTAATCGTGAAACGACCGGGCCTCCCTTCTTTATAGGGTGTAATCCATCCTTTCTCTTTGTTGCCTGTAGGATCTTGCAATATGGACACATGTCCGTCACCGTGGAAAAGCAAACCTTGCATGAAACAAAAGGACATTCGGGTCAAGTTGCAGGTTGAATCTGGCCTCCAGCAGAGGAGCGCTGTCTGATTGTAATCGTGAAACGACCAGGCCTCCCTTCTTTATAGGGTGCAATCCATCCTTTCTCTTTGTTGCCTGTAGGATCTTGCAATATGGACACATGTCCGTCACCGTGGAAAAGCAAACCTTGCATGAAACAAAAGGAGACAGTGTTGCTACAGGAGAGCATGGGCTTTTCAATTTTAAGCCTCACAACGTGGTCTTCTATGTGGGCGGCTACCCCTCTGGCTTCACGGTGAGATGGCCTTGGGCACGCTGGTTGCAGATGACTTGGGAGCGATACCCGGATGCAGCAGGATTGTGGTTGGGGTTAGGCAGGCCAGATCCCCCACCCCCCAATATAACCTTTTAAAATCACTAACGAGGAATGCTTCATAGGTACATAACAATTTTAACATGAGCCTAGGCTGTCTCTACTGAACATTTCAATAGTTGTGTTTTGAAATCCTTGTTTAGAAAGTGAGCCTCCTGGGAGGGATTCTACTGGAGGCTGTCAGTTTCTGTTTACTTATATGCAAAAATCCGTATCTCCTAACATAACGCATGACATGGCTCTAATCTGTACGGCATAAGGAAGCAAGTAAGCGCCCCCCCCCCTTTGTGTGGTGGGCTTCCAGGGAAATTCATATTTCAGGAGGCCTGGTGTGGAGAACTGTAACTAGAGGGCAGTGCTTCAAGCGGATGGACAAGGCTGGACGGAAAAATGGGGTGGGGTTGGAGCATCAGGCAAGGTTAAGTCACAGGAGTAGGAAGCAACTTCTTATAAAGTTCAAGCAGCTGAGTTGCAGCTACTTTCTGCCAGGCTAAGAAGGAAGGCTAATCTAGAAAGCTGAAATACAGTGATGCCTCGCAAGATGAAATGAATTCGTTCTGCGAGTTGTGTTGTATTGCAAAAAATGTCATCTTGTGAAGCATGGCCATAGAAAAATTTGTCTTGAGGGTGACCAAAAAATCGCAAAATGCTTTCATCTTGCGAGTCTTTCATTGCGTGAGGCGTTCGTCTTGTGAGGCATCACTGTACAGGGTGATTGCCCCTTCCAGTCATGGAACTAAGATGCCCTATTATTTTCTTTCATCAGCCTCCTACACCCCTGCGCTATCCTAACTACCGGGGATGCATAGAGATGGATTCGCTTAATGAAGAGGTGGTGAGTCTGTATAACTTCCAGAGCACTTTCCACCTGGACACTGCTGCGGAGAGGCCTTGTACAAGGTGAGCTGAGTGACAGTGGCTCCTCCAGCTGCTAATCCTTTTTCATTTTGCCAGATGTTGGCTTAGAAACCTTACTGGATTACAGTGAAATGAGATAGGTAGAATAAGTGGCAGGGGCTTCTAGACGTGAAAAGGCAGGGGCAGAAATATCTGGATCAGGCACCTGAAAACATGCAACTAGTTCTTCATTGTGGTCTCTGTGAATGCACACAAATGGGTTAAACCGCACCTGCACAGGAGTCTTCAGAATCTTCTAGGGCTTAAATAACATTCCGCTCATTCTACGGATGATTTTCAGGATCCACCAGTTGAGAGCCAATGCCATTCCTGATAGCTCCATTGTGTCCTCAGCAGCCATGGTTTACCACCCTCAAGACCATCGCATCCGATTTCCTGAGATTGCCTCCTCAACCATTCTGCCTAACTCAGGACGGGGGCAACGTCTGTCACCCCGACATCGAGTCGCTCCATCTCACAGTATGGAGGATTCTACCAGTATAAAAGAAGTGTTGAACAGGGCTAGGAAGCCTTCAACCAAACTGTTATATTCTTATAAGTGGTCTGTTTTTACCAAGTTTGCTGCGTCCAGAGGTTTTTTTGGCTGTTCCAGCTTCGTTAGATACTCTTCTCGCTTTCCTGTGTTATTTGTTTGATCGAGGGCTGGCGCATCCTACACTGAAGGTTTATATATCAGCCATTGTTTCTTATCAGCCAGTGGGTTCAGGGGCTTCCCGCTTATTCTCGCACCCGACTGTGAAGAGGTTTCTTCAGGGTCTGCATAACATTCGTCCACCAGTACGGCCTCCATACCCTCAGTGGTCTCTTCAGACTGTTTTGCAGGTTCTTACATGCCCACCGTTCAAACCTATGGCTTCTACTCCTCTAAAACTTCTTTCTCTTAAGACTTTGTTTCTTGTGGCAGTTGCATCTGCTCGGAGAGCAAGTGAGTTGACTCACTGCGGTCTGATACACCATATATACAATTTCACCCCGACAAGGTCGTCTTATATCCTGATGTGTCATTTCTCCGAAAGGTGATTTCCAGTTTTCATGTCAAACATCCTCGCAATGTTGTTTCCTAACCCGTCTTCCAATGTTGAGCGCATGCTCCATTCCCTTGATGTTTGTTGGCTTTGGATTTCTCCGAAAGGTGATTTCCAGTTTTCATGTCAAACATTTCCAGTTTTCATGTCAAACATCCTCCCAATGTTGTTTCCTAACCCATCTTCCAATGTTGAGCACATGCTCCATTCCCTTGATGTTTGTTGGCTTTGGCCGCCTCGCAATGTTGTTTCCTAACCCGTCTTCCAATGTTGAGCGCATGCTCCATTCCCTTGATGTTTGTTGGCTTTGGCCTTTTACATTTCTAGAACTAAGGACTTCCACAAATCTCCTACACTGTTTGCTTCCACGGTCCTCAAAAAGGTTATCCAGTATCTTCTCAGACAGTTTCTAGATGGATCGTTTCTGCCATTGCTTTAGCCTATGAGCTGGTTTACATTTCTAGAGCTAAGGACTTCTGCAAATCTCCTACACTGTTTGCTCCCACGGTCCTCAAAAAGGTTATCCAGTCTCTTCTCAGACAGTTTCTAGATGGATAGTTTCTGCCATTGCTTTAGCCTATGAGCTGGTTGGCAAGGCTCCACCAGATATATTGAAGGCTCGTTCCACTAGAGGTGGGGTTACCTCTACTGCCTGGCTTCGTGGCATTGAAAGCTCTGACATTTGTCCATCAGCTACTTAGTCTACCTTTGTGACACATTACAGGCTGGATGTCAGAGCCAAAAAGGAAGCAAGTTTTGGAAGGGCTGTGCTGACTTCAGTTTTACCATGACGGCTCTCCTGTCGGTAAGTGAGTTGCTAGTCACCCATTCGTGTGCATTCACAGAGACCACAAAGAAGAAAGAGAAGTTACTTACCTGTAACCATGGTTCTTCAAGTGGTACTCTGTGAATCCACACATCACACCCGGACTCCCCGCTGTCCGTCATGGGTTGTCTAGAGCTTTGTACTTTCAGAGTTATGACAGCGGTGGATGTTTGGAACAGAGGTACCACGGGCGGGCGGTCTTCAAGGGACCCCCCAACTGCGGGGCATGCGCACCATGGGGAAACGTTCTATTGGTCAGTTATTTAAACTCTAGAATATTCCGAAGAGTCCTGCGCAGGTGTAGTTTAACCCATTCGTGTGGATTCACAGAGTACCACTCGAAGAACCATCGTTACAGGTAAGTAACCTCTCTATTTATTCTAGGAATGTAGTGAGAATTTACTGAGCTTGCGCTCAAGCTTTTTTGATTGCACCACAGTAACATTCTTTAAAAGCCCATAGCAGTAATACCTTTTCCATTTTTTCTTTTAAGTTGTTGAGCTGTAGAAACATTATGAAATACATTGCAAAGTTGTATTTGCATGATATGGTAGAAGTGTGGAGATTTCTCATCATTTATTTCTGTCATAGTGTATCCCGACCCTCCTCAAATGCTCCTTACATGAATTTCTTCCCCACTGTGTATCTCACTAGGAGTCGTAGCTAATATAATCATATCCTGCCTTGTTCCTGCCAAAAAATTGTAAGGAGCTGTTGTACTGATTTCCAAATACAGTGGTGCTTCGCATAACGAGCACACCGTTTAACGACGAATCTGCATAGCAACACGTTTTTTGTGATCACTAATGTGATCGCATTGCAATGTTTTAGGTGGTAAAACATCGCATTGTGATGATCGGTAAGTGTTTCGCTTACCGATCTTCGCATTGCGATGTTTCCCCAACAGCTGATCAGCGGTTCCAAAATGGCCGCTGGAAGAAGAAAATGGCCATCCGCTCCGTTTTCCCGCCCTGCCCTCGCTTACCTATGCGGCGAAAATGGTGGCCGGATATTTCTGTCATAGTGTATCCCAACCCTCCTCAAATGCTCCTTAAATGAATTTCTTCCCCGTTGTGTATCTCACTAGGAGTCGTAGCTAATGTAATCATATCCTGCCTTGTTCTTGCCAAAACATTGTAAGGCGCTGTTGTACTGATTTCCAAATATCTGCTTCTCTACAAATCATGTAGGGTCTCGGAGGCTGATCAGGCAAATGGGCTAATCCGCTCCGTTTTCCCGCCCTGCCCTCGCTTACCTATGCGGCGAAAATGGTGGCCGGATAGAGAATCTTTGCATAACGGTGAGCTTTGTCCCCATAGGAACGCATTAAACAGAGTTTAATGCGTTCCTATGGGGTCCCCCCCCCCGCATAGCAACGAATCCGGAGAGCGACGTTAATCCTGGAACGGATTAACATCGCTATGCGGGGCACCACTGTATCTGATTCTTTACAAATCATGTAGGATCTGAGAGGCTGATCAGGCAAATGGGCTAATCTTTCCTCTCTCTTTTTTTGGGGAAATTTCTTCATTCAATAATCAGGCCAAGAATTTCTGGAAAGCCTGATTTCTACATTTCAAGAGTTCAGCTGACTAGACTCTGCATGCTAATTGCCAGCTTCTTAACTTCGCTTTTCTGTTAGGTCAAAATCGACAGGTGATCCTTGGCTGACAGATGGCTCCTATTTTGATGGGACTGGATATGCCGAAATTACACTTGAGAGCCAGATTGGCTCAATCAAGCGCTTTGAACAAGAAATGCGATTGGTGTCGTACAATGGAATTATTTTCTTCCTAAAGTATCAGGCAAGTGTCGCTCAGAATTGGTGCTTACTTTGCTTCTGGCACACTGTAGCTATAAATCTTGTCCTTGTTGTGAGTGCTGTTAAAAGTACATGAGAATGAAAGTGGATATGGCTCCTGAAAAGGCTATGTGATATATAGATCAGAGGAAGCAACTGGCACAGCAACAGGTATGATCCTCTTATTTACAATATGTTGGAAATGTCTGGCATAACGGCAGGACGGAGCCCCTGTTTACATGGAACCTTACTCTGTAACTCAATGCATTGGTTAATCCGGACGTCACTGCTTGCTTGGGTGAACTTTGCATATTCTTCCTCATTGTTTTCTCTTTTTCTCTTCCAACCATCTAAAGCTTCCACTTCTTAGAAGGTAAGAATGGAGGCAAAGGACGTCTCGTATTCAGGGTTGGTAGACTAAAAAGGATCTTGTCCTCTTTCGCCCACAGAAGCAGCTGCTGTGTTTAGCTGTCCAAGAAGGAAAGTTGGTGCTGTACTATGACTTCGATGGAGGCCTTAAGGCTGCACAACCCTCTAAGGATCCTGCTACACTGATAGTCAGCAGCACCACAAATAAAGCGGTAATGACAGAAAACAGACCCGTGCACTGGGTTGGCTGGGCTGGGAAGGAGGGCAAGATCTGCCTAGGGTCTGTGATGTTGCAACACAAGTAAAGGGCTAGTGATATGCTTCCCATTTGCCCTTCATGCAGTGAGGAGGGATCTCCCCCCCCGCTTCCTATGCATTCTCCTGGAGTGACTGTGGATGATATTTCCCCACCATCCCCTGACATACAGCTGTGTTCTCCGAGCTTGGATTGCAGAAATTTCTCTTCCCCCCCCGGCCCCCACTTCTGATGGGACTGTAGGAGAAAGGAGTGTGCGGCACATGGCTTGGGAGGCTTTCTTGAGGATGGTGCCTTGTAAATTCTACCTGACTCTTGAATTTATCTCTCCTTTGGGAGCAAATGCCTCTGATTCCAAGGACCGTATCCATGTTTGTCTGGTTCTCATTTTGATCTGATTCTAGATCCAAATATTTCTCCTCAAAATGGGTTCCAAGGATCGTGTTTTGGTGCGTCTCGAACAATCAACCATCTTCATGGTAGAGCAGGAAAATAGCTTACAAAACGCTGCCTCGTATTACCTTGGCGGGGTGCCGGTGTCCCTTCTCCCTGAAAGGTAAGCCTCTTTGTCCAGGGCAGAATTCCATTTCCTTTTGTTTCTACTGCGCTTCCTTAGGAGTACTAAACCTCTCTACATACTGCTAGCCTCAGACATGGATGCACTGACGCTGACACACCATTTGCTGCGCATGTTCAGTAGAGATATTTTTAAAATCCAGACGGCTTTCAGGATGTGCCCCACTGCAGAAGTATCAAGGAACTGCGCCACTTTTAGTATTCATTCCTATGATGCATTTGTTTCTTTCAAAATGTGGTCTAGTTCACTTATTTAACATAAAATCGTTATGTTCCCTAGGTTCACAGGTATATGAAAGCAGGACAGATTGTTTTCTTGGAACATTGAGGTGCTCTCTCATCTGCCTAACATCGAGTGGGATCTTTTTTAATTCGAGAGGACTTGCGGGAGAGGCACTTATTTAACATAAAGTCGTGCTTCAGCTTGTTCCCTAGGTTCACAGGCATACGAAAGCAGGACAGATTGTCTTCTTGGAACATTGAGGTGCTCTCTCATCTGCCTAACAGGGAGTGGGATCTTTTTTAATTCGAGAGGACTTGCGGGAGAGGTGGTGAGGGCCAGATGGGAAGTGTTGCTAATTTTGGGTTACCTTATTTAACATAAAATCGTTATGTTCCCTAGGTTCACAGGTATATGAAAGCAGGACAGATTGTTTTCTTGGAACATTGAGGTGCTCTCTCATCTGCCTAACATCGAGTGGGATCTTTTTTAATTCGAGAGGACTTGCGGGAGAGGTGGTGAGGGCCAGATGGGAAGTGTTGCTAATTTTGGGTTACAGCTTCCAAAAGTCCACGGCCAATGCAGCCGTCATGTGGGACTGCCTGTGGGACTGTGGGAGCCTTAGTCTAAGAACAGATGCCTTTCCCATTTCTGGCGACGAGGCATGTCTCAGACCCCTAAGGTTAGACACTCTTCTCTGAGCAACTGCATTTATTTCTTATGGCCTTAACTGGGCAGTAAAGCCAGTTCATTGATTGACCGTGGCAGAAATTTGGCCAGTGTTTGGTGACCGAGTGGAAGAACTTACAGTGGAGGAAACTTCGGCAATCCCTATCTTCAGATATACTATTTTTAAAAGACGCTGCACCCAAAGGGGCAGGATGGGCAGAGAAGAAATAGAAAGGAAATGTAAAACAGGAAAAATTAGACACCAGTGTGTACTATTATGGAGTTCTTGCAATGACCCATTGTGATGGATGCTGATGGCCCCCACTGCAAAACATGCCTAAGAAGGCCTTGAAGAATTAGGACCAGAACTGGTGATTTAGTAATTTTAAAAAATTATTCTAATGAAGCAGGAGTATATGGGTCTTTAAACACATGATCTGGTTGGGATTTTAACCTATATAATATTATAGAGTATTCTGCAATTCAATGTTCACAGTTGTAAGAGCTGTGTAAATGTGTGTCACCTTCAGGAGCTCCCCCCCCCTTATTATTATTTTATTTATGTAAAATATTTACATTAAATATTTACATTAAAAGGACCCAAGGCAGCTTACACCATTATATCATTTTCCTTCTTCCCCACATCTTCACTCAAAGCAGCCATCCTACAGAATCCCTTTCAAAAATCCAGACTTCCCTTCTCTGCCTAGCCCACATTTTCAATCCTATGTGTTTTTCAGCCTGAAGAAAATATTCCCCAAAGGTGGGTCTATCCGGGGCTGCATGAAGGGGTTGAAGGCTCTTGGCAAATACGTTGACTTAAAACGTATGAATACGACAGGAGTGAGTTACGGGTGCACTTTGGACCTCCTGGTAAGTACCTTTGAGGCCATTTATGGAACACATAAGAACTACAGTGGTGCCTCGCATAACGAGCGCACCGTTTAACGACGAATCCGCATAGCGATGCGGATTTTGCGATCGAAAAAGCGATCGCATTGCAATGTTTTAAGTGGTAAAACCGCATTGCGATGATCGGTAAGCGTTTCGCTTACCGATCTTCGCATTGCGATGTTGTAGAACAGCTGATCGGTGGTTCCAAAATGGCTGCCGGATCAAGAAAATGGCCGCCCGCAGCGTTTTCACGCCGATTCCTCGCTTACCAAGGCGGCGAAAATGGCAGCCCTATGGAGGATTCCCGCTTAGCGGTGAGTTTATCCCCCATAGGAACACATTAAACAGAGTTTAATGCGTTCCTATGGGGTTTTCCATTCTGGATAGCGATGTTTCCGGATAGCGACGATTTATCCAGAACGGTTTATCGTCGCTAAGAACACATAAGAACTACCTTGCTTGATCATCCTAAACATCCAGCCACACTCAGCTAGATGTGCTAGGGGAATTTGTGATGGACATGACACCCTCCTTTTTTATGATCTGGTTGATCTATGCTTTTTGGGATATTGCGCTTGGGACACTGCACTGCTATGGCAGGAGGAAGGGAATGGCAGGAGGTAGTGATACATGTGATAATGTCCGTATGGAGAGAAGAGAACTAAATTCAGTATTTTGCCCTCCATTTAAGGTTATCTAAGGGTGGCAGCGGGTGGAGGATGAGTCCTTGAGTGTCAGGTGTATTGGAAAGGTGTGTGAGTTCTGATCTGGAAATTTTACATTAGAAAAGATTGTCCTGTCCAGTCCATATCCATACACCAATCCTCAGTCTTCAAGGGACCCCCCAACCGCTGATAGCGATGTTTCCGGATAGCGACGATTTATCCAGAACGGTTTATCGTCGCTATGCGGGGCACCACTGTACCTTGCTTGATCATCCTAAACATCCAGCCACACTCAGCTAGATGTGCTAGGGGGATTTCGCAAGAAAGTTGTGATGGACATGACACCCTCCTTTTTTATGATCTGGTTGGTCTATGCTTTTTGGGATATTGCGCTTGGGACACTGCACTGCTATGGCAGGAGGAAGGGAATGGCAGGAGGTAGTGATACATGTGATAATGTCCGTATGGAGAGAAGAGAACTAAATTCAGTATTTTGCCCTCCATTTAAGGTTATCATAGGTGGCAGCGGGTGGAGGATGAGTCCTTGAGTGTCAGGTGTATTGGAAAGGTGTGTGAGTTCTGATCTGGAAATTTTACATTAGAAAAGATTGTCCTGTCCAGTCCATATCCATACACCAATCCTCAGTCTTCAAGGGACCCCCCAACCGCTGGATGGTGCAAAAGACAAACAGAGCTGCCCCACTGCAAGAGAGGAACAAATGTACTGCTGTTGATAGATCGGGAGTCTTGAACATACTTCCGTCAGAGTCCCCTCTAAGGCAAATGAGAGCTCCTCGAAACACAGCAACTTTCACAAGGGAACCTTCTGGGGGATTGAGATTATAAAGAACATAATCTCACAGGTTACAGCTGTGCAGATTATGTGTGTTGATGGAACAGACATATGGAAGTACGGCAGCGAAGGGGCATGGGCGTTCAGCTGGAAAATTCCTTGCCATGTTAAAGAAATAAGCAAACAATTGCTGCTGGTGGTGTATCACTGCAGGAATTTGTTCTTCCAAAGAGGCATGTCCGAGGTGGCGTATTTAGTTATCAAAGGGAATGTAGCAGTAATGGTGAGCAGTGGTGTGCCTATAGCAAGGACATGCAGGGTCGAAGCCCCAGAACCTCCTGCAAAGCAGGAACGATGAGATTATCCACACCTTCTCACCCTTCCCTACTCCCTCTGAGATTAGCTGCACCTTGCAGAGGAATGGATTTTCCTAGCAACAGTGTATTGCACGTTTGTCCCTGTTGCAATGGGAAAGCATTTGAGGGTAGATTAGCTTTGAATGAACAGTTAAGAGCCATTAACTTAAAAACACACACGTACTCTGACTTTTGACATGGACCAATCTCGCTGCTTGCGTGTGTTGATGGAAGTATTGCAGCGAAGAGGCATGGATGTTCAGCTGGAAAATTCCTTGCCAAGATGTTAAAGAAATACAGTAAGCAAACAATTGCTGCTGGTGGTGTATCACTGCAGGAATTTGTTCTTCCAAAGAGGCATGTCCGAGGTGGCGTATTTAGTTATCAAAGGGAATGTAGCAGTAATGGTGAGCAGTGGTGTGCCTATAGCAAGGACATGCAGGGTCGAAGCCCCAGAACCTCCTGCAAAGCAGGAACGATGAGATTATCCACACCTTCTCACCCTTCCCTACTCCCTCTGAGATTAGCTGCACCTTGCAGAGGAATGGATTTTCCTAGCAACAGTGTATTGCACGTTTGTCCCTGTTGCAATGGCAAAGCATTTGAGGGTAAATTAGCTTTGAATGAGCAATTAAGAGCCATTAACTTAAAAACACACACACGTACTCTCAGACTTTTGACATGGACCAATCTCGCTGCTTGGGTTTTTGGACTCACCTTGTGCAAGGGGCACTGACTGTGGATTAGGATATTAGCACCTGCACTTCCAGATTTACCAGTACATCCTTGTGCAAGGGGCACTGACTGTGGAGATGATTAGGATATTAGCACCTGTACTTCCAGATTTACCAGTACAAAACTAGGTGGTGATGTTTTTGCCATCAATAGTGGCTCACTGTTAGTGCTAGCATTTAGGATCAAATGGGTCTATATGTTTTTCCTATAGCGCGTAGTGCGATGCACACTCTTAAAGATTGTCTAGCCTTTTTCCATGTCTTACATTCACTCTGGATTCTGTGGTTTCTCCTCTTTTTTTGCTTCAAGGATGCTGCCAAGAGGACAACCATCCCCATTATCTTATACCTTATAGTAATATCCCACAAGAGCCATGTGATTGCCAGATAATGTGCCATTTCTTCTTTAACCTCCCACTTCTGTCATTCTAGCAGCAAGGCACTTCTGTAGTATAAGTCTCCCTCTGTCTCTTGGCAGGTGGCTCGCTCAGTTAAGCTTCATGGGCATGGATACTTGACTCTGTCATTGAGGAATGTGCCATCTCTGCAAGATTTTTACACTGGTTTCAGCTTCCGCACAAGCCAGACCCGTGGCTTGATGTACCACCATGCTACAGAGGTATGCCGCTCGTGCAGAATTAGCATACGGTCCACCAGCTCTCCCGAATGACTCGCGGACATAAATGTGAGGGACAATTCCTAGCAGTTCCTCCCTCCCACAGGCAAAACCAGTAGGGTTAAAAGAGCCTCAGATGTTGCTGAAGATTCCCACCTTCTCCTTCCTCCATATTGACTCTCTTCCAAAAGGTTTTCTGTTACCTTTTGGACATGATGCAATTTCAGGTGGCTTGACTGGCCCTTTCTGAGGCCCTATTGGCTACGAAGTCTGTTTTCTCTGCCCTTGTGTTGTTTTATCCTCCAAAGGGTAAAGACAGTCACTTCTACGACCCCCACCTGGAATCCTCTTAATGAATTGCTCAGTTTTTATCTACAGTAGCCACGTTCCCATTTATGGCAGAATCTACCCTCTCTCTCTCTCTCTACCTAGGAAGGGACCTGCCAAGTTTCTTTGCAGAATGGGAAAGTGGCTGTTAATGTCTTCTCGACGGAAATCACCACAAAGAACACATATGCAGATGATTCCAGCCACTATGTTGCCCTCTACAGCGATTCCACAGGGTATGTTTTGGAGCCATCTCTTGTGATGCCTGTTTAGTAGCAGGTTCCCTTTCCTTGCCCAGCATGTTATAGAAGGCAGTGGCACAAAGGGGTCTGTCGCCTTGAAACGAAACGGATTTCCTTTGCAGGGTTCGGCTTTACATAGACGACCAGCTTCAGGAAACGAGACCAGGTTCTGATCGCCAGAGGAGGCAGAAGCGACAAGATGAGGCGGCCGTCTTCCATTTGGGTGGCCTGCCTGCGGCCCATACCGTCGGCAACCTCACAGGATGCATCGGGAATGTCTTCGTCAGGAGGTGTGTCTCCCCTCTTGGATCTTACCTCTTCTAATCAAGAGGACTAAGAACATGTCTTCTTTCCTCTCCATCTTCGTCCTGCCCATCTTGTCTGCCCATTTAGAATATGTTCCACTGTGTTCTTGGTTTAGTTATGGTTTCAAAGGGCAGCTTGCCTAAATTCATTCCTGTTAATGAATTAGTGACACAGAAGCAGTTCTTTCTCCCTCTGCCACCCATTTGCCACTAGGAGCCTTAGACATTTGTGCCCTGCATTCAGCTACTGCATAAATGTTTTAGGTGGAACTTAATGCACATTGGGGTGTATTTTTTGGCATTCAGTTCTTTTAATGCAGTTCTTTGTTTTTGTAGCCAAGCAGACAGCATGATCTCTGCGTTTCAACCAGCTCAACATCTTATGCACAGTAGCTTTTGGGGATTAATGGTCTTGCAAAGATGATAACCGTTCTTGTTGTCAGCCAATCCCTCACACACATGTGGCCCTAGATCCAAAATCTTGGCTCTTCTACATAGCTTTCATTATTGTTCAAATTAACATTGAGGTTCAGGGTGCAAAAAGGGGCTGTACTGGGAATTAACTGAGTATCCATGTGGGCAATAGCCCACTGGTTTGTAAATTGTAACATCTCAGTTGGCAGCACCGAACAGGAGTAATTTTATCAGTAAACAGGGCCTTCAGTGTCCTTTTTAAAGATCATTAGAAGGCGGGAGGTTTAATGCAATAATAAGTAGAATGTGGTTGTTGTTGAGCCATTACAAGGACAAATGACCCGTGAGGATTTGAGAGTTACTGTGTCTCTAGTTTGGCTACTATATTCAAAAGGTTTCTGCTGGCTTCCTAACAGCTGCCACCTGGCAGTGATCCTGGCTGAACAGCTGTTGAGTATTTTTCCTTTTCTGCGACAGGAAATCCGAGCCACAGATGGTTGTAGACCTGCAGCAGAGCGCAGAGAGTTTCAATGTGACCATGAACTGTCCCAGAGACCAGCAGCCGCGGCAGATGAGGGCATCAGAGAAGGGCAGGTGGAAACCCAAGGTAATGAAATTCATCCCAGCCATTGTTTGTCCCCTTGAAGGATTTTGCCTTTGGCTTCATGAGGAAATTAGAGTGTAGGCATAGCGGTTTCAGTGAAGGTAGCAGTCCAGTGTGTCGCTGTTTCTTGTGTTGAGCTATTACACAGACATACGCTAGAAATTCAGAGGAGGTTTCCCTCTCTGTTTAATGGGCCTGTTGCACAAGCGATGCTAACCTATGGATCCTTCCTTGACTGTTCTCTCTTTCATTCAAAGATGGGGCCAATACAGATATGTGTACTGGGCAAAGAACTGTTTTCTGGCTGCTAAGCATGCACTGTGTTCATGCATGAGAGAGTTCTTTGACAGTCTTAGTTCTAGATCTGTCTTGATGTTTAGGATTCTAGAAAGTAGTACAGACTTTTTCTGAAAACTGCAGTGACCTCTGGAACAGAGTGCCACTGTCATAGGCTGGGAGATGCACAACAGTGACATCTCCAGTCCCAACCTGCTTCTGTTCACGCTGGGGAGCTTGTTTCCAGCTATTTGTGATGTCCCCTACTTGCAGTATTTTCTTTCTGAATCTTGAACCCAACGTCTGGTCAGGATTCTACAGCTGTTAAGGGTCAGTTTATGGAAGCCAGGGCTGTTTTCTTGAGTCTGAAACCAAATCAGATATGGGAGAGATATTTCTCATTTTCTCCTCACAGATGCCAAGCAGGAAAATGCTGAAGGATGTGAATTGCCACCTAACCAAATACCCCAAAGCCATTAAGGATGCCTTCCAGTTTGGCGGATCCACAATAAGTCGCTTAGAATTTGATGACATTCCAGTAACGTTCCAAGAAAGGTAAAATGCAGGTGTGATATTCCTGCTTGCTGCTGGTTGACAAACTCTTCATTGCTTTACTATACATTTAAGAATACGAAACTGGGACATTTCAGAGACATCTGGCTTCACAGATGCAACTGCTGGGGTGGGTGGGTTAGTCCTGATAAAGACTCCCATGTCTCGAGATTGCAAACATCAGTGTTTGGCTGTAGTAAACCTACTGAATTGATGAGGTGCTGAAATGTAAAAACAAAAAACAAAAAAACTACATTTTTGTTTTGTTAACCAAGGAGATCATGAGCTTAACAATAAAAAGCCCTTTTAACAATGCAAAAACTGCAACTAACTGCAACCCTGTTTGATATAAAAGAATTGGGAGAAATCAGCAGCTTAGTGAAATCATTGATTTCACTTTGACTTTCTTCCCCCCCCGAGTGCTGTATGGATCCCTGGAGCACACATTTTATCCATAGCCAAAACTCTTATCGTCGGTTCTGTTCTGCATTTCTGAATGTATTGATGACATCCGACTTTCTTCTTTTCCAGCTTCCATTTCTCAATGGATATCAAACTGAACTCCTCCAGTGGCCTCTTGTTCTATATGGCTGATGACGCCCTGGGTTCCTTCTTCTCTCTTTTTATCTCCAATGGCCGCTTGGTGCTTTTGGCTGACACCAGTGGACAGAAACTGAGACTGAGGACCAAAGACAAGTACCATGATGGAAAGTGGCACACAGTAAGGATGGGGAAGCAGAAGGGGGGGGGGCGGCTGGCTAGCAGGCCTGTGACAGAGACTGTCATTCTATTTGTTCTTTTTAGTCTGCAAGAAAGCAAAATATTAAACCATCCTGCACCACCTGGCATTCCTCCAGCTGTGTTGGACTATGACACTAGTCATCCCTTCAGCCAGCATTGCAAAGGGCTGTTGTGCTGGCAGGAAATGATCGATATGCTAGTCTGCACAACAGGAGGGCACCAAGCTGGAAAAGAGGGCATTCAGCAGATGAATTCTATGTCTAAGAGGTTATGATGGTATGAACCATGTGATTCTGATACTTATCTCTTGCAATTCATAGATCTTCTTCAGCAGGGACAGAAGCAGAGTTCAGCTTGTCACTGATGGACTGAAAGCTCAGGAGAAGTCACTGCTAACAGCTGGAGACTTTTGGATCCCCAGCGTCTTTTATGTGGGCGGAGCCCCTATGGAGAAGGCCAAAGCCCATATACCAGTAAGCATCCCGCGTACACAGCTCAAGAATTTGCCTTCTAAAAGATTAAGCTGTTTTGTCAGTGAGACTAGGTAACACAGGACACAGGACACCGCGGTATTCTGCGAATCCAGGGGCTGTCACTCCTTGGTCTGTTAGAGAGCTCACTGAGGCTCTTGGCAACTGGACGTCTTCGTGCAGGCGATGGATCTGTCCATGCGTTCTCCACCACCCATATGTAATACACGTCCCGCCGTTTTACATCTGTCAGTTCGGTTCTCGTGATCCTGTCCACTTCAAATAAGAGTAGAAGCCTTGTGGAAATTGGGACCAATGCACAGGTCATATGTAGGCGGCGAGAAGGCACATATTCACTCGTAAAAGTCATTTTACTTCAGGGGAGTGTCTGAAATAATGCGTGGAAAGTATGCTGTCTCAGGGTCTTAAAAGAAGCTGTTTTGCGAGGCGGTGACAAGCCCTGAGGGATGACATCCAGACTTCCATGGGGCCAGGCCGTGGTTGAAGCAGCGAGGATGTTCAGGTTCTCCAAGGCTGAGGCCCCCTTCAAAAACTCTGTTTTTATTTTCTACAGGATGCGTCTGCTGCTAGCTTTAAGGGCTGCCTCAGGCACTTGAAACTTGACAGGAAGCCTCTGGTATCTCCAGCCCGCGTGTTTGGCGTCACTCCGTGTTACACGGGTCCTTTGGAAAGTGGTGTCTTTTTCTCAGCTGAAGGAGGATATGTGACTCTAGGTACGATCTGGGTCGTCTTTGTCTTCTCAGGAAGACCCTTGCTCCGCCGGCCTCTTTCTCACACACTTTCTCTGCAAGGCAGGAATGATCACGCTTTCCTTTCTGCTCTGACAGCCTTGCTTTTTCCACTTCTAGACAGGTATGTGGCTGTCGGAGAAGACTTTGAGCTGACGCTGGAAATCCGTCCGCGGAGCGTCTCTGGCCTGATATTTCACATCGGCACAAAACAAACAAACTACCTCAGGCTGTATTCAGACAGCACAAAGGTAAACCGTAAATATATGTATATGGCACATCAGGTAGTGCTTTCTAGTAACCCATGCAGGTACTAAGTCCAATCTCTGAGAAAGCGAAGAGAAAATGAAAATTCACTCTTGTTCATTCCCTTGACTGACCCAACAGTAAGGACATATGTATGCAGCCCCAAGGCCCCCAGCTGGAGAGATCCCAATGCTTTTCTCCCACAACCCACATGAGGAGCTGGGTTTCAGGGTACAGACACCATTCTTTGGCAAGGGGTAATGGTGATGAAATGGCGGTTTGGGTGGACATGGCCGGGAGGTAGAAAGGCTTCCCTCTCTCCCCTCTCCCGGCATTCCTCAGATCTCAGAGACTGGAAAGGAAAAGCAAAGTGTTACGTTGAAATGTCCCCTTTCATTTTGTGTGATGGGGAGCCTTCCCTTCCTTCCGGAGTTGGGCTCCTTGGGCTTGGATGTAGCCCTTTGCCCTCTCCTGCAGTACACTGCAGAGAGCAGATCAGCAATGGTAGACATCCCACCTTTTCTTAGAACTTATTCATGACTACCAGCCTTGTCACCGAGGCCTCTTAGGAGTCTCCAGGTAGGAGATAGCATGAAAAGTGTCAGTTTAGCTGAGCCCTGTTTCAGGAATTTTCAGCACTGCCCTTTTCTCTTGCCATCATGATGGAAGTTCTCTTAATTTTCTTACTGCTGTATTAGGTCACTGTGATTGCAAACACTGGTGCTGGGGAGTTCTTCACCTCCGTGGCCCAACCTTCACTCTGTGATGGCCAGTGGCACACAATAGCAGGTAAGCTACTCTTCAGAGGCTCTCCATTTTTGCTGCCCTTTTCTGGAATACATATTGTTGTAAGGCCTTCCCAAAGCAATATTCTCAGCTCTTTATGTTCTTTCCACATATGCCCATCACCTACCGAGATACCTGATCACAGACTTTGTTACAAAATGCATCCACTTAAGCGGGCGAGAAACCTCATTTTGAGTTCCAACGGGTGCTGCCTTTGCTATCAAACCTTTCTTCTCATCATCAAATAGCTGTGGGCATTAAATGAAAACGGACTGCCGGAACTCTTCCAGGGCTTTGCTTTCACAAGTGCGGGGAGATGGTAAATGGTTCCAAAAGGTCTTTTGTCAGTAAAAACGTAAGGATGATAATGCAGCTGCTTGGTAGAGACGAACCACATTTCTTTCACAATAAAATGAACACAGCCACCCTTGCTCCTTCACAACAGCAATGTCTACAACAGGTTGATGGATTCAATTTCAGGGCAGAGAATTGAGGCATGTTGAGTTGGACTAACATGCATGCAATGGTTGTCTTAAGTGGCTGGAACACCTGTTTCAACAGGCACTTTGCATTTTGGCTAAACACAGCAAGGATTATATGATGCATAGCCAACATTGTTTAAAAGGTAGTTTATTCTCATCTTAGCAAGGGTTTACTAGCAGTTGCAGAGGTTTATGTCTTGAGAAGTAGGGATGGGCATGAACTGCCAGTTCAGGAGTTTATGCTGGTTTGTTTAGTTGCCAAACAGATGTGTGGTGCTTCAGAGTCCTGCCTCTGCTTGACTGGTGCCCACGCAGAGGCAGGGCCTGAGTGGGCATCTGCTGGTGGAGACCAGGCTCTGAAGCACGAAACACCTGTTCAGCCACTCAGCGAACCACTCAGCAGACACTGCTGAACGGATGGCTTCTCAGCATGCCTGGTGTTGAGATCAACACTTCTGCTTTCTTTCCAAGTTATGAAAGGTGGCAATGTGATCCAGTTGGATGTGGACACGGAGGGGAATTACACTGTGGGACCCAACCAAGCCAACAACAATGCTGCCATCACAGAAAACTTCTACCTCGGTGGAATGCCAGGTGGGTAAATTGGCATCAGGAACATTTGGAGGGGGATGGATCCTGGCTGCCAATCATATTGTGGCAAACTTTATTAAATGTCCACTTAACTGGGCTGTTGTGCCACTTCCACAGATTAATGTGAACCATGTTTTTACTAAGCATAGTCCGGGTATCCTGTTGCCTAAAAATGGAGGAGAATCCTTTAAGCAGCCCCCTCTGCTCCAGCACTCTCTCCCTTCTGTGACTCTGCAACCAGGGCAGGAACAATCACACAACAGGGAGCCTGCTGGAGCAGGGAGACCAGTTTCCCTTCTGCCCCTGCATTTAGGCAACAGGATACTAGCTCTGGGGTCTAGATGTTTTGAACTACAACTCCCAGAACCCAAGCCATCCTGGCTGAGCCTGATGGGGCTGTAGGACACAGCACGTGGAGAGCCAAAGGGAACACCTCTCCTGACATTTATTCCTGTGTTGCCTCTGCTGCTTGCACCCACTTTCACTGGTAGAAGCCAGGCTTTGGCACAAAGAAAAGAGGACCAGTGAAGGCTTAGCTGGACGCAGGTTGAATCATGTACAGGGTAGGATTGAACTTTGATTTCCTCAGAACCTGAACCCTTGCCTGGAATTGAAGGCAACTGCTATGATACAGAGAATGGGGTAGCAAAAAAGTCACCATGGTGTACCTTCTCTCCCCCCTCCTTCTATTCTGCAGAATTCACCAGCTTTGGCCTTGCAGCACCACAGCATATGGCTCATTTCTCCTCTTATACTGGCTGTATGAAGAACCTGGTTATAAACCGGACTCCGGTCTACCTGAGGCAAGCTGGGACTGTCAGGGGCTCAGTGGGGCTCCATGGCTGCCCATTTCTGTAGGCAGTTTGGATAAGCCAGGACTACAGAAAGAGGCATTGCTCTTCACAAGTGAAAAGCGGATTTCTGTCTTTTCCTTGCTGCCTGGAAACACAGTCAGTGCTCAGTACCAGCAGTCAGTGCAGCCAAGGGGATGGGGTAAGGTTCTGTCATCTTCAGATTTTTAACTAATCTGTAATATATTTGCATATTCCTTCCCCCCCCATATCAGACGGCATCTTCAATAGGGAAAGGGATGTGCATAATATATGAGTATTTATCAAAAGGGCCAAAGTATAAGGTGCTCTCTCACAAATGAGATTATAACGAGTAGTCATCAGTCTGTCTTAAAAGCACTGCATCGCCAAACTGAAATGATCAAGGGAGAGGAACAAAGTATTCAACCCTATCAGTGTGTTATTTCCAAACAGCTTGAAGCAGAACAGGGAGGCCAGGGTAGTGTTTTGTATGCTGAAATTATGAAAAAAATGGGCCACCAATGTTTCAAAGCATGTAGATCCTGTAGAAACGAGATCTTCTGTAAATGTGTGGTGGTTCCAAATAAAAACTCCCCTTCACCATCAGCTTAGTAAGAGCTGCTTTCAACTTCATTATGGAGAAAAGATGCATAAATAAAATGCTCATGTCCTTCCTGTCTCACCACCTTATGCACTACGATGGCAGCCTTAATGTCTGAAGTCCAATGAAACCTTTTTTTTCCAACTTATAGAATTTACTACATTCCCCTTTAAACTTCCAAGGTGCTTATTAATTACCCATGAACAGGGAGCAGTATATGGGCAACTTGTGCACTTAAGAGATGTCCTTATATTTTTTTTGTGTGTGTATATATATATAAATATATATATATATCTTCACTTGGGACAAGATACTGGTTCTGAAACAGACTTTATAACTTATCAGTATATTGGTTGTTTTAATGCTGGGGTACATATTGTAAAATGGGTTTAACAAGTCTTGGTTTCTATTTCTGCAAATGTAATTAACTGTTTTGAAGCTGTACTCTTAAGGCATGATCTCTGTAAATCACTGGTACATACTTTTAATTCAAATAAATTTTTATGGTCTATACTTTGTAAAACATGTACAGAGAAGTTTTTTTGTTTCATGCCTGAGAAATACATTACCCCTCCACCATATGCATACCCACCTCCATAATATTTTATGGAGAGTTTCCTATCTCAACATGAAAAGATTGCTGACTGTTGATAGACATCCATCATTAATACACATTATACAGGGCAGAAAGATTATGAAGGCTAAATCAAACTAAGTTCTTAGAGATACTACTCAGAATCTAAGAATCAAAGCAAGGTGGCGGTGTTTTTTCTCCTCCCAAAAAAGTAATTGCAGGTTCACTTTTCTCCCCTAAACATGTAACCAATTAATAAATCTCTTTAGTGTTTACCATTAATGAAATTATTACAAAACGTAATGGAGGTGTCTGTGTGGCAGAAATAAACTGCATGTCTCTTCATATACAGCTAAGACTTTGGACACCACAAGTATTTCATTCCAAATAGTTCTCGACATAGGTTGTTTCATCTGTCTTTTTTGTTAACATGTTTTTTAAGAAAAAACAAAAGACCCTGAATAGCCCAACAACATAAGGGGGCAATTCCAAAACATTTTCCCTGCAGCTACATAATCCCCAATTTGCTACACTACCTAGGGCCAATGTTCATTATCGGTCAACAAATATCTTGGAGGACCACAATATAGTAATGGTTGTGAATTAACTGTAAGGATAGCAGTGCAATTGTAGTTGCTACGGCTTTAGTAAGGTAAGCCCACCATTTCCAAAGAGAAGTATCTTTTAAGGCTGAGGACAAACATGTGCTTGACACTGCAGTAAGTGGGGGGGGGGGGA